AGACCGAGGCGACGGAGCCGGGCGGCCGGGCGGCCGGCTGGTTCTGGGAGCGGTACTGGGAGGGGGCCCGGCAGCGCTACCGGGAGAGGGCGGCGAGGCACAAGTCCGGCGGCGCCCGGGAGGGCGAGTGGCGGCACCCCGTGGAGAAGAAGGTCAAGCTCTCGGAGATCGTGGGGCCGGAGGAGTCGCTGGCGGGGTCGCTCTGGGACAGCCAGACCCTCCGCGAGCGGAAGAGGGACACCGTGGCGGCTGAGTCCCCGGAGCAGCTGTTCCGGCGGCCCAAGTTCAAATTCAGTCTCCAGTCCTCGAAGGCCGGCCATCTCCCTTCGGACACCTCGTTCAGCATCATTAACGAGCTGGCGAAGATGGGCGACCCCGAGGTCCTGGAAATGGTGGAGGAGGAAGGTAGGAGCCGGCCGAGGGGCGCGGGAGGAGGGTCGGGCTCACGGGGGACGTTGCAGCCTGGAGCCCAGGGATATTCGCCCAGTGGCGTGTCCTGTGCAAGACGGGGGGCTGCAAAGACCCTGCCCTGGGTGGGTGGGCGCCCCATGATTTTCTCCGCGGCTCCTGCAAGCCCCGACCTAGTTCCCGTGACCCCCTGTGGTTCCAAGATCACCTTCCCTTTGCACCTCTGTGCGCCCAGGAGCCCGGGAGGAAATGCTGGGAGGCGAGGTGAGCGCGCCGGGCGTGTGAGCTCAGGTGCCCAGGCACCCAGAACAGAGCCATTGCTTAGGGTGCATGACCTCGGACGCTTGTATGGGTGCTTTTTTTAAAAAAAAAAATATCTTTATTGATTTCAGAGAGGAAGGGAGAGGAAAGAGGGATAGAAACAGCAATGGTGAGAGAGAATCATTGATTGGCTGCCTCCTGCACATTCCCCCACCGGGGATAAAGTCTGCAAGCCAGGCATGTGATGTGCCCTTGGCTGGAATCGAACCTGGGACCCTTCAGGCCGCAGGCTGACGCTCTATCCACTGAGCCAAACCAGCCAGGGCTGTGTGGGTGCCTTTGCCTCTATTCACGATGGCTGCTGGAGCTGTGAGATCCTGGTTAATTGTGGGAGAGGCAGGCCCTGGGGGTGGAGATTCTTAAGCATGCACTTAGAGCACCGCCGTACCACCAGCTCTCATTGAATCTTCAGGGGAGAAATTATTTGCTCATTGTTTGCTAAGGCCTTTGCGCAGCCCCATACTCTGTGGGTCTGTTTTACCTTGGTACACACCTTTTTCTAAAAAGTCACCTATTTTCTGGGACCATCTCCAATGACGCTAAGTTGCCTTGATAACAGTCTGTTTTCTTGTCTTGTTTAGTGTTAGATCTAGACATGGACACCATCGTTTTAAGTAGTAAGAGATCTATGCGGTCTCACTGGGTAGTCTTCAAAGGCACCAAGAAATGGAAGGTATCATTGCATCTTCCTCCTCCACTTTAACAGTTTTATTGATAGAATGTATACACTATAAAAGTCATCCATTTAAAGTATGCAATTCAATGGTGTTTGGCATATTGACAGAGTTGTGCAATCATCACCATAATCTAATTTTAGAACATTTTCATCACCTCAAATAGAATCCTCTTAGTAGTCACTCCCCATCACCCGCCTTCCTCTTATTCTGTACTCCCAGCCTATGGGCAGCCACGCATTTATTTACTATAAATTTATATAGCAAACAATCCATAATAACAGAAGTGTAAAGTGCTAATTAGACAGGATGTCCTTTTGGATGAACCTTCTGGATGAAGAGGGGGCTGCGAGGGAAGTTGGGGTCCCGGGTGCCAGAAGGAAGCCGGTGCTGGCAGCCAGGGGAAGGAAGACCTACTCTTGCATGAATTGCAACTGTGATCATGTGAACAGACTCATATGATATGTGGTTGTTTGTAACTGGCTTCTTTTTCTTATCTTAATGATGTTGAAGTTCACCCATGTTGTAACCTATATCAGTGCATTATTCCTTTTTATTGCCAAATAATTTTCCACATTTTATTCATTCATCAGTTGGTGAACGTTTAGGTGGTTTTCACTGTTTTTTTTTGGCTATCATGAATAATGCTCTTATGAATGTTTATGTACAAGGTTTTGTATGACATTCTTTTTATTTTTTCAGTTATATACCTAGGAGTGGAATTGCTGGATCATGTAGTAGCTCTATAGTGTAAATTTTGAGAAACTACCCAACTATTCCAAGTGTCTGCATCATTTTATAATCTCACTAGCAATCTAATTGTTCCACACACTGATACTCACTAACATTTTTGTTATCTGTCTTAGCTATCACCATTCTAGTGTGCGTCGAGTGGTATCTTAATGTGGTTTTGATTTGCATTATTTTCAGTGGTTAATGTGTCAAATATCTTTTCCAGTGCTTACTAGCCACTCATAGATCTTCTTTGGAGAAAAGTCTATTCAAAGTCTTTGCCATTTAAAAATTTAGTTATTTGTCATTTTATTATTGCATTGTAAAAGTTCTTTATATATTCTGTATATATGATTTTCAAATATTTTCTCTAATTCTGTGTGAAGCAACTACTCCTTTTTTAAGTCAAAAAATAATTTAAGGATAGAGGGAAATAAAACAATTGAAAACTTTTAGCTTTGACTAATGGCTTTGCTAAATGATGCAATATATTTATTTGTTAGGGAAAATGATTGGTGTTTAGTAATGCAAAAGAAATCAAATGACTTTCGAATGTATAAAATTAGGGGTCCCTACCTACCAGTATACTTATTTTTTTAATGTATAAAATAATAAATAAATTAGAGGTCCCTATATTTATTGAATGATTTTCTCCTTTGCTGAGAATTACTTTTTGTAATTCGAAGGTCTTAATAGATATTTTTTAGCTTGAAGCATTCAGTAATTCAGTTTGTCCTCTGTAGCTATGAGTCTTCTGTTTTGTTTGTTCACTTAGTTTGTTCTTTAGATTCCACATATAAGTGAATCATACGATAGTTGTCTTTGTCTGATTTATTCACTTAGCAAAATACCCTCCAAGTCCATCCATGTTTTCGCAAATGGCAAGATGTCATTCTTTATTGTGGCTCAGTAATATTCCATTGTATATACATACCCACATTTTTATCTACTCGTCTCTTGATGGGCACTTTGGTTGCTTCTGTAATGTGGCTATCATAGATAGTGCTACAGTGAATATAAGGGTGCATATGCTCTTTCAAATCAGTGTGTGTGTTTTTGATATATACCCAGAAGGGGAAACCTGGGTCATAAGGCAGTTCCATTTTTAAATGTTTGAGGAACCTCCATATTGTTTTCCATAGTGGCTGCACCAATCTACATTTCTTCCAACAATGCATGAGGATTCCCTTTTTTTTCCACATCCTTGCCAACACTTGTTGGTTTATTTTTTAAATATATTTTTATTGCTTTCAGAGAAGAGGGAAGTGGGGGAGGGAGAGTGATATCAATGATGGGAGTGGATCATAGATTGGCTGTCTCCTGCACACCCCACACTGGGGATTAAGCCTGTAAACTGGGCATGTGCCCGACCTGGAATGGAACCATGACTTCCAGGTTCAGAGGTGAATGCTCAACCACTGAGCCACACGGGCAGGGTGGAAAAGACAGTTTTAAAGTTGAATGTAGAGTTGCCTGCATCTTTACAACCATGTTAAACATTGTATTTAACCAAACCATCTTATCATTTGATAATATGAATATTTGATTGCATATACAGTTGATCCTTGAACAACATGGGTTTGAATTGTGTAGGTTCACTTATGAGTGGATAAATTTCAATAAATATTGCCAATGTGTTTTCCTAATATTTTCTTTTTGTTATCTAAATCCTCCTATATATTAAAAGGCTAATATGCAAATCGACCTACGGCAGAATGACTGGTTGCTATGACACACACTGACCACTAGGGGGCAGATGATCAATGCAGGAGCTGTTCCCTGGTGGTCAATGTGCTCCCACAGGGGGAGCACAGCTCAGCCAGAAGCCAGGCTGATGCTGGCAAGTGCAGTGGCGGTGGCAAGAGCCTCTCCTGCCTCCACGGCAGCACTAAGGATGTCCAACTGATTGCTTAGGCCCAATCCCCTCAGGAGTCGGGCCTAAGCCGTCAGTTGGACATCCATTGAGGGCTCCCAGACTGCAAGAGGACGCAGGCCTGGCTGAGGAACACCCCCCCTCGTGCACCGGGCCTCTAGTACAAAATATATGTTAATCAACTGTGACAGGCTTTCTGTCAGCTGTAGGTTATTAGTAGTTAAATTTTTGAAGAGTCAAAAGTTATACAAAGACTTTTGGCTATGGGGGGGTGGGTGTCAGTGCCTTTAATCCCTGCATGGATCAAGTGTATTTTTATTTAACGCAGCTGGAAGGAGTGTAAACTGAGAAGATCATTTGGTAAATGCAGGTGCTATTTTGGGGCTCTGGGTTTGCTGGAGTGTGCATTCTTAGGAATGTGCTTTCAGCAAAAACTTAGAGCTCAGTCTTTGGGCTGACTCTACTTTTAACTCATATTTTACGATGCTTCACAGTGATATAAGCCCTTTATGTCTCTGGTTTCTAGCACATTAGAAAGAACATAGTCATTTCCGTTCATTTTAGAAGCAGTTGGAAGAATAACACAAAGCTGATGGAGAGTTGTTGGGTTCAAATCCTGACTCTTCAGATAGGCCCCTGTTTTGACAGGGGTTTGGTGATCATGCATAGTTATTACATTCTATGCTCTGTGAGTTAGTGTGGAAGTGTGTGTGCGTCTATGGCATGTGTGAATATCTGACTTTGTGTATGCGTGTGAGCACTATGTGTAAGTAGGAGCATATAGGCTGCGGTAATACACCTTTCCTCTTTAATCTTTGTGTTCCATCTGGCTCTCAGGCAGCTTTCAGTCAGTGGAGGGAAGAGTAATTGGGATAGGTGCCAGAGAGGGTTGCATTCAGGTGGTATGGGAGAGGTAGGAGGCTAATCCAGGGGACAGATGAGGAGGTTTCTGGCAAGGCCTGAAAGGAACATATCAAAACTGTTCTAATGTGGAAAATTAGCAAGAGTCAGCCTAGTCCAGTGGTCAGAAAACTGAGGCTCACGAGCCACATGTGGCTCTTTGGCCCCTTGAGTGTGGCTCTTCCACAAAATACCACGTGCGGGCGCGCACATACAGTGCGATTGAAACTTCGTGGCCCATGCCCAGAAGTTGGTATTTTGTGGAAGAGCCCCACTCAAGGGGCCAAAGAGCCGCATGTGGCTCGCGAGTCGCAGTTTGCTGACCACTGGCCTAATCGAAAGTAGTTGTTAGTTCTAGGGAAACAAAGCAGCAAGCTAAAAGGTGAAAGCAAAGCATAAGAGAGAACTACTAAGGATAGGAGATAGCCTGGAGGAAAAATATCATCTCTTTTCTACATTCTCAGATAAACATATTGCATCAAGTTCCAATAGCAGTTTGAAAATATTTTTATTTATTTAAATACAGCAAAAATAACTAGAGGAAGGAGGTGCTTGAAAAACTTTCTCTTCTAAAAAATAGGATTTTAAAATATTTTGTGTCAACTGATGGTCCTTAGTACCATCAACAGGAATCCCCAGTTTGGGTGCAGTGAAGAAGGAAACTTTATTCAGTGAAAACAGTTTGTGATACACCAGTGATGACAGAGAATCCTTGACTGGCTGTCGACTGCACCCCCCACACTGGGGTCCAAGCCTGCAACCCAGGCATGTGCCCTGACCATGAATTGAAACTTGACCTCTTTCATAGGTCAATGCTCAACCAGTGAGCCACGCTGGCCGGGCTTATGTTGTATTCTTAAGTTGCTTATTTGCAACCAACTTGGGTCCACTCCAGGAAAATATGCTGATAGAATATTAAATCTCACATGGTGAGAACTAAGAGATGGCACTGGACAGCCCTCTAGGATATTTTCCTCTCAGCAGTTTTGTGCCTATGTATTTAATAACTGCATTTATCAGAATTAAGTTTATTTCTTGGTAGGTGCCATTATATCCTACATATCGGTATTTGGTGTTTTTCTCCTAGATTATATACAGTTTGGGGCATTGATTTGTTTTGGAGACTGTTTTGAACAACTTAGCTCCAGGAATATTGGGGGCATTTTTCTTTCACTATTTTTTTCTTTGAACTTTTTGTTTGATTTTTGAATTCTTCTTTTCTCTATATGCAAACTCTTAACATATTCTGATCAATTGGCCATTTAACATGTGTTTTTTTCCCTTTCTTATTTAATTTAGGAAGAAGACTCAATAGGCAAGCAGGCTTGGATTTAAGAATGAGTGATGTAAGTTAAATATATACTAGCTGCCTATAAGTCAGAATGAAAAACTAAGACTAGGTTAGAAATGTACTTTATATGAATACCTTAGGTCTTTGTCCTTCAGCTATTTACTCATACTACATTCTTTCTATTTTGTCCTCTAACCTAGTCATTTTTTTTATTAAGTAAAGCAAATACCATGTTTCATGCAGATTTATTATTGGGTCTTTCTAGATGTTGTAAGGGAGCAAACACAAGCTTGGATTTGTTTTCAGGATCCCTATGAAATAAATTCAGAATGCTAAGACTTGATATGCTATATAATAGTACTTGGCTTAACACTTTGATAGAGTATAATGCAGTTCTAATATGTGACAGCTTTTTGTGTTACAATTATTAGTATGTGAATAGTGCTTATTGATGACTATGCCAAGGTTCCAGTAATTCAACCTGAGTTAAGTAAACATATTAAATAAAATAATAAATAATAAAATTAAATGCTACTTGTAAAAATACAGAATTTTCTCAAACAAAAGCCTTATTTTATTTATATAAACTGATAATTAGGATTTCTTGTGTACAGAATATAAGATACTAACAATTAGGATTTCTCGTATACAGAATGTAAGCATTCTGAAGGTACTTCAGACAAAGTAATCTTTCTGGTACGTGTCCTTGAATTGGGTTAAGGGTGACCAACAAGATAACCAAAAAAAATATTTCTTTAAAAATAGCTATTTAGGAATGACTGAAATTCCCACCCTGGGAAAGAAAGTCTATCAGAGTAGGTTGGCTGTGTGCTAGTTATTAGCAGGATAAACTGGTTGACTAAAGATTCCCAGAAGTTCTGCAATTCCTTTAAAAGTTCAATGACCAACATGCTGACAGAAACAGAATATGAAAACTGAAGAGACTATGGAAATCATATAGTCCAGTAATTTTTACAGTATAATTTGTAGACCACCTGAATAAGAATTATATGAAAAACTCCCTCAAAATGAAAACATTTGGGCCCAACCTCAGATTACTAATCAGGACTCTTCAGGGTAAGGTTAAGAAATTATGATTTTTAAAAAGCACCCACGTGATTCTTACTGCCATTAAAGTTTGAAAACCACTATCATAAAATAGTCTCCACAACTAAAGGGATAGAATGTGACACTAGGACATACTTATTAAGTGAATCAAGACAAGTATCTAGAAAATAAAGAACATGAAATAATCAAGTCTCCATTTCTTTAGAGCATTCTGAGGAAAGATTTATTTTATACGATTGAACCAGTTTACATGATAACAAATATATTGTCATTTTGTTCATATTGGCATAATAACATACAGATTTTTATGTATTTCTCAAGTTAACTGCAATTACAGTTTACATTTTTGGCTTCTGTGTTTATCTTTCATATTCATATATACTCTAGACTTAAATTTCTATAACAGAAAAATAATTTCTTATCGTATTTATGCTGTTCCTTATCCCTTTGCAAATTTCAAGAGCAATGGATATAGCTTCCTTGCCTTTAATCTCAGATAGGACTTTATTTCAAAAAATGTTGCTCACATTTTTAAGGCTCTACAATTGGTTTGTCAAAATCAGAAAAATTCAACTATAGCATTTTAGTAATATCATATGCCATAGTTGATGGGGTTTTTGTTTTTAGTGTCGCTGAAATTGAACTATTGACTTGTTGACATAGTAAGGATAGTCTGATTTGAAATATTCATACGTTAGCTGATTTACAATGTATCCAGCATCAGAAAAGACTGTTTTAGGGTTTAACAATGAAAAGGCAGGTACTCTAGAAATGTGTCCCTCCCACATACTCATCTGCATAGAATCAGTGGAGAACATGTTGGCAGCCTGGACTTTCACTCTTATCAGTAGTAGCAAGATGCACAATTCGTTTGTGCTGGGTTGTTGTCAGAGATAGCCTGGTGGAAAGCCATGAGTTTCACACAGCAGTTCTCAACCTGTGGGTTGCGAACAATGAAAATACATCCTGCATACCAGATATTTATGTTACGATTCAAAACAGTAACAAAATTACAGTTATGAAGTAGCAACAAAAATAATTTTATGGTTGGGGGTCACCAACCATAAAACATGAGGAGCTGTGTTGAAGGGTCACGGCATTAGGAAGATTGAGAACCACTGGAGAAGCCATCCCCATACCACTCCCTGCCATGGTACAGTGGAAGCCATGTAGGGAGCAGTAAGGAGGCATCTTTCCAGACAGGTTGCGATCAGTGAAGGCCTAATGGTAAGATTGAACTTCCACCCTACCCAGTAGTAATGAGAAACCCTTCCACCATTCCACCAGCCTTTCACATCCCCAGAGGCTAAGAAAGAAACCTGGAATTCTACCCCCACCAGGTTGTAAGGCATCACTCCACTTACCCCATCAGAGTGGTGTCAGAGAAGACTTAGTAGTAAGTCTTCAGCTTTAGTAAAACAGGAGATTTAAATAAAATCTATAATCTTATAACACAATACCCTACAAGTTTAGATTTCTATAGAAAAATCACATATGATACCAAGAACCAGAAGGACATCAACTTGAATGAGATGAGACAAGCAATAGCTACCAATGTTGAGGTGACATAGATGTTAGAATTTATCTGATTAAGATTTTAAAGCAACTATCATCCAAGTGCTTCAGTGAGAAATTGTGTACATACTTCATACATAAAAAAGTAGAAAGTCTCAGCAAAAATATAACAGAAGTTTTGAAGTAGAACTTATGGTAAATTTGAGAATTGAAAAATAGATAACTGGAATTAGAACAAGCTCAACAGAAGGTGGAATGGATAGAAGACAGAATCACTGAATTTGGAGATAGAATAGAAATTACCTACTCTAAACAAAAGAGAGGAAAAAATTAAATAAAATGAACAGAGCCTCAGGCACCTATGGGACTATAACAAAAGATCTTGTATTTGTGTTACTGAAAACCCAGGACAGCTGGAAATATCTCAGTTTGTCAAAATACATAAACCTACAGATTCAAGAGGCTGAAGGAAATATAAACAGGATAAACTAAAAGAAATTTACATCAATTGAACTAAAACTGGTTTGGAAAACTAAATATAAAAAAAATTCTTGAAAGTAAGAAAAAAACACCTTAACTATAAGGGGAAAGTAATTAAAATTATAGTAGTTTTCTCATCAGAAACCCAAGGAAGTGCTACAATTGTTTTAAGTGGTCAAAAAAGTGCCAATCCAGAATTATATAACCAATGAAAGTACCCTTTGGTATCAACAGAAAATCAAGACATTCTCAAATGAAGGAAGACTAATGAAAACTTTTACCAGCACATCTACCCTAAAAGATTGGACAAAATAAGTTCTTTAACAGGAATTATTAAGAAAGTTCCAATAACTGATATTAAGTCATGCAAAATAAAATAGAGACATATAACACAGAGCACAAACAGGAAACAAAACAAAAAATAAAATGGCAGAATTAATTCCTAATCAATTATATTAAATGTACATAGTCTAAACACACTAATTGAAAAACAGATTTGCAAAGTGGATTAAAAACATGACAGTTTAAGGATTAAAAACATATTATGTAAATTAATATATAAAGTACACTTTGTAGCAAAGAAAATCATCATGGATAGAGCAGTACATTAATAGAATCATTAGAAGTGTCCATCCAACATTAAGATATAGGTAAGATATATGTGCCAAGTTTGAAAGGCCTAAAGTAATCTATTGATTCTGCCCTTTGTCTTGGTCCTGTTGAGAATTCAGCATCATTAAAAGAATGGAGATCCTTGCTATTTCTCTGTACTACAGTGGTTCTTAACCATTTCTTGCGTCTCAGGTGGTGGTGGTGTTTTTATGATATGATAAAGGTACCTCCGAGATTCTCATTCCCTCTCAAGCTCTCTCTCTTCACACACACATACACATATATACACCCACACTTGCATGAATACACATGCATATGTATACACATATATAAACACAGTTTTGCATGTAGTTTCAGGTGTTTCAGAGCTCCCCTGAATTGCAGGTTTAGTATTTCTGCAGAAAGAAGCTAGAACTTTTGTTGTTGAACATTATGTGCTCCCCACTTGTATCATTATTAACCACATTGTACCTTCCTTACGGCGCTAATTGCAGAGCCTGAGCAGCAGAGAGACCAGCTATCTCCTCAATGAAGCAGGATTGGTAAGCAATGCTCAGTACTATACTTTATCTTTTTACATTAAATCTATTGGGGTCACATTGGTTATAAGATTATATAGGTTTCAAGTGTTGATTTACTTTTTTTAATAAAGGAATTTTTTAATTGGTTTTAAAAAGGGAAGGAGGGAGGGAGAGAGGGAAGAAGAGAGAGAGAGAGAGAACGCGCGAGAGAGTCCTCCTAGCCTCTTCCCCTCTGACAGCTAGCTGTCAGTCTGGTCTCTGTATCTATTAGTCTGTTTCAATTTTGTTTGTTTATTTTGTTCATTAGATTCCATATATAAGTGAAATCATGTGGCACTTGCCTTTCTCTGACTAGCTTATTTCACTTAATCTAATACTCTCCAGGTGCCTCCATGATATTTGAAATCTTTTCTTTAATCCTGTGCAGGATTTGTTAACTCTCTGTCCATTGCTTCACAGTCTGCAAAGAGATACAATTTGTTCCTGAGGAGACGTCTTATGGTAAAAGCAGTGCTGAATGCTGCTGCTTATGCTTGGATAGCTGCAGTGATAGTTTAATTCATTTTTATCCCAAAGCATAGTATTGGGAGTGGGGGGTGGTCTTTGTTACTGATTCCTCTTCCCTGGGCAATTGAAGTTTTAGGATGGTGACTATTAATTTTTTTTATCTGATTAAAGCCATGGGACCTCTTCCTAAAAATGTGTAATATATATATATACACACACACACATATATATATACCATACATATAATTTACATACTATTTCAGAACCCCCGTCAGGAATCCAAGTCTCTGAAGTTCAGAATAATTACCTGATTCAAAGAAAAGGCCCCAGATTTATAAAAGTCTCATTATATATAGGCATTTCTAAGAGCAAATCAAATATAAACACAAACTTGTACATACACTGCAAAATATCTTAATGTCATGTCTTGGGCAAAACAAAACAATGATGGGTTTTAATATTATCTCGTTATATATTAAAATTATCAGGTTTTCCTGCCCCAGTGGCTTCAACTAGTTTTTGTTAACAGTGCTGACACATACCTCATGGTGATTTATAAGGCTACAAGTGATTTTTCCTTAATTTAAAAATGTTTACAGTTTAGTAAGGGCACAACATAATGACAGAAGTTTGGGTTTTCCCATTAGCTACTTGTTTATTTCTTAATAGTCAAATACTCTGTGATTTTTATTGATTTCTATGTGCACATTTTCTGTTACCACAACTGTCCATGGACCTAAATTTAGCTTGTCCAAACAGTAAGAGCACTTTTAAATATATGTTGTTTCCTTTTATAAAATACCATGCAAAATAGCTGTCACAGATTTATAGCAAAAAGATTATTGTTTTTCCCCTCTATTTTCTGTTTTGATTATATTTAACCTAATCAATTATTTTGGCCCCAATTAGCTTTCATGAGTTCCAGTGGATTTCATGTTAATGCTGTGATGATTTACAAAAGAGCGCAAATGGTTTATTTTGTTTACTTTTACTTTTTTAGTGATTTATAATCAGTATGTAAGATAACAGTTTGAGTTTTCTCAGGTTTTTTTTATTTTCTTTTAGGAAAAGGGAGATGATTATGTAATTCTTTTGGAGCTTAGAGAACTCAGACATAACATTTGAGTTACTATATTTTGATATTTAATCTTTAGACTCCCTAAATACTTTTGTTTCTTAATCTATTTTTCCACTCATTTCCTTCTATACATTGGAAACTACTTATTTTGCAGACGCATCAACTATGTCTTCATATAGATAAGATGCAATTACTCTGTTCATGAAACACAGATCATACATGAGATGTTTGTCTTATTTATACATGACTGATCTACACTCATTCTTTTATATGGGAGGCTTGCCTGGCCTTACTTGACTGAAAACAGCATAGAGCACCATAAAAGAAACTCACAAAGTGATATAAATACCAGTTATGAAAATTTTAAAAATCTAGTTCTTCATCCACAGGTTAGATACAAGCAAGTTCTCTATATTATAACTTTGCATCACAGAGTTAGAGAGATCACTGACATCCACTGCCTATCTGGTTGCATCATTCTAAGTATTATATGGGGCTATTCCAAGAAATACATATAAACCAAGAAGAGAATCAGTCAGATATGAAGTTCCTTCTTTCTAACTCTCTCTAGTGTCCTTGTGGTTTTGAAAGGGAAGGCACCAATGAACTATAAAACATATGAAAGTTGAACTTGAAAGTTTGATTATTATACTGAGAGAATCAGTAACACAGATTTAAACAAAGGATTGATTTTGGCTCACCTAAAAAATTGATGTTGAAAGATTTGCATGAGACTTTACTTGTAGTGAAGCCAGCCGCAAGCTACCAGCTTCCTAATTATTTACTGCACTTTGATTTTATTTGAACCCTTTTATGAAATCATGGGATAGGCAATTTTATGAAATCATAATAAAGTGAGCTTCATTAACTAACCCTAAAGTAGTGTGTGACCATTAATTATTTGTTGAACTAATTGGCATGTTGTTTAATGAAGATAGCAAGTTTCTCTCTGAATATGCATTTTGGGATCAGTGTATACATATATTCATTCTATTTTGGATATAATTTCATTTTTGTTGTGTATGCTTGCTAATATACTCAGTTTCATCTGGAATCCTTATTGTTTAATAAACATCTCCTTTATGAAACTTGATTTTCTAAAATAAGCATAATTTTATGTTGATGAAAACTGGTTACTTGTCTTCAACTGTCATTTTAGGACTGAAAAAAATTAGATGGTGACCCAATTTTAGCTGACTAAGGATATCATGTTTTTGCCATTTGAAAATAAAACTGTTTTGTCTTTCATGTCTCTTCCAGTTTGATAAAGATAAACAAAGCAAAGACTCCATCTTCTTCCGAGATGGGATTAGGCGAATCGATTTTGTGCTCTCCTATGTTGATGACGTAAAGAAAGAAGCCGAAATAAAGATGGTAAGTACTTATGTGAAAGAAATGATAATAAGAGAAAGAAGCACATTCTGTAATTGGACAGGTATGTTCCCAATGAATTACATTGCAAAACTCGGAGGCCTCTGAAGTGTTACCGAAAGCTGAACCTGATTAAGAGGACTACAAAATAGGCAGCCTAAGAATGAATGAATGTGTAAGATCAGTTCTATTTTTTGGACATTTTATAGACTTCTTTATCCTCTTCAGAGTTACTTCTATTTTTATATAGTTTAGCTTAAATGTTGTTACCTCTAAAATTTGAGTTATATGTCTAAACATAATGTATATTTTTGTATGCAACTTTTGTTTCAATTTTCATTAATCCACTCTATCTGAAATCTCCTTTAGATTATGCTCTGTTCCTTATCTTATTTTTCTTTCCATTATAACATGTCCCTTTCTGAACTTACTTATTTTTTTTTTTTACTTAATTGCTGTGTCAAACACCATAAATTAAGTTCATAAGACCAAGGACTTTGTCTTGTTCGTTGCTATATGCCCAAATGCCTAGGACGGTGGTTGGAGCATAATGGATGCTCAATAAATGTTAGGTCCTTAATACTGTCTGGCAGTCATACTTCACTTGTTTATTCTATTTTTCTCTCTACTTTCCTTGATGACTGTTTTTCAACTTTTTCTCTCTCCTCTCACCTCCAATTCCTCATCCCCATTTTCAAGCTTAGCTGACCATACTTTTCTATTTCACTGGGAAAACTAAAGTAAGTAGAAGAGAAATTCTAAATTTCCATTCACATCTGTCCATTCACCAGCATCTTCACCTGCATAATCTACTATTCTTCCTGTTATCATAGAAAAACTATTATTCTGCCTACAGCCAACACCTCCACTTGTACCCTGGATCCCATTTCTTCTTGCCAACTATTCCGGAGTCACCAATACCACCCCCAGGTTTGGTCATTCATTAGAAGGATACACATGCACTGTATATAGTCATATGCAATGGCCATGTTTTATTGCACTGAAATAATAGAAATAATGCATGAGGCAAGTCCAGAGGAAAACAGGTGCAAGCTCACAAGATTTTTCTTTCATTGGAATAGTACAGAATGCACTTAATCCCTCGGTAACAGGTGAATTGTTGTCTACTAGGGATTTTCATTAAAAACTAAGTGCCTAGGATATTATTGGGGGCTGGTCACCTTCTCACCTTCTGCCTAGAACACACTAACATGTCATAGTCCCAGATGGAAAGCAAATGATTAGCATAAACGGTATTGTTTATATAAACAGTTAAGGTAAATTGAGCAACTTTTATCACTTCTGGGAGTTGTGGGAACCCTCCCGAAAGCCAAGTTCCCAGACCTGAGCGCCACTCTTGTAGGCAGGCCTTTCTAAGAATAGCACTTCCAAGCCTGGAATACTAACTTCTCCATATGCCTGCTTAGGGATATTGCTCTTAACAAGTCTTTCTTCTCTCTTTTAAATTATATTTTGTGTTGTTCTTTATTGGGCTATTTTTTTTTGAACAAACAAATGTGCTGTTAATTCTTCCATATTAAAAAAAAGCAAAAACAAATACTATCACTTGATCTCAATAAAAATAAATAAATAAAATATCACCGCTTGGTCTAAATAAAAAAAAAAGTTATTGTAAAAAAGTAAACTCATGATAAATGCATCAGTTAACAAGATGGGCAGCAGGGCTTTAAAAATATTTTCTTGTTCATAGATGAATGAGAAATATTCCTAGAATGAGATGGTTCAGCTTTGAACATAGTCCTCTTTTGTTTTTATATATTTTTAGTGTGAATTAAGCTTGTCTAGATAAATAAATAGATTGGAATAAAAAGATGATTGCTCTAGCAATTTTAATCTTTTTTTGAAATCCTGAATTATGCATACAAATTACAAAGTGATTCATCATAAAAGTAGTGTTTAATGGTCTATGAACTAACAATCCTATTTCCTCGAACTCAGAGAAGCAGTGGCTATATGACTTACAAAACCAATTGTTATTACAATGAGAAGGATTATTCACTTTTTCAATACTGATACAATATTTTTAAGACTTTAAAAAATATCTTTCTGTTTATTTATTTTTCAATACTGATACAATATTTTTAAGACTTAAAAAATATCTTTCTATTTATTTAGAGAGGAAAGGAAAGGAGAGAGAGAGAGAGAGAGAGAGAGGGAGAGAGAGAGAGGAATCAGCTGCTTCCCACAAACACGCTGACCAGGACTCAAGCCCACAACCTGGGCATGTGCCTTGACCAGGAATCCAACTGGCAACATTTCAGTGTGGGACATTGCTCAGGCAATTGAGCCACACTGTCCATGGCATGATACAATACATTTAATGTCTCTCTCCTTTTTTTTGTTTCCTGTTTGTCTTTTTGTGATAACATAGGAGAAGGGCAACTATGAAAGGGTAGCTGATAAAGGAACCTTACATCATTATCACAGGCCTGTTCTGAGATGTAGTGAACATATAGTAAACTTTGGAAGAGGAGGGAAAGGACATATTAAAATAACTTTTCCTGGTCCAGTGTGGCTCAGTAATTGAGTGTTGACCTAGGAACCAAAAGGTCAGGGATCAATTCCCGGTCAGGGCTCATGCCCAGGTTGTGGGCTTGATCCCCAGTGTGGGGCCTGAAGGAGGAAGCTGATCAATGATTCTCTCTCATCATTGATGTTTTTTATCTCTCTCTTCCTCTTCCTTCCTCTCTCTGAAATCAATAAAAATACTTTTTAAAAATCCTATATAATAAAGAGCAGCCTCTTCCACCCCAATTGAGGGTGGGGCGGCTAGCCAACCCCCTCACTCCCCATGGCCCCTCACCCAGGCCAGCCACGACCCCACGCTTTCCCAGGGCTTGGGGTACCCCAGGCAGGCTGCAGGCACAGCGTTGGTCAGAGGCAAAGGTCCTGGCTGTCCCTGGCCTAGAGAGTTCAGAAAACCTCAGCAGTGACCAAAGACCAAGACCGAGTGGAAAGGTCCCTGCCGGCTCTTATGGCTCAAAGTGCCAGGAGGAGGCAGAGCATCTTGAACCTGCAACCCTGGCATCTGCACACCAAGCCTTGGGGCACACCATGCCGGTGAAGCCTGTGGGTGAAAGGGGGAGAGCAGGGAGCTGGGGTGTGGAGCTGGGAGAGGCCTAGAGTCTTCGGGAGCAGCCCGCCTGCTGAGATTGCTGTGTCCCACACACTCAGGCTTGGTCAAAGTCCCTGGTGAGCTCTATCACTTGCCTTCCAGGCGTGGCTCGCCCTGAGCCAGCTGGCTGGCATTGCACTCAGAGAAGCAGCTGTCACTGGGCTCCATTAAATAAGAGAAATCAAAGAGCCGGGAGTAAATATCCTCCCAGCCCCTTCCTATGCCCCTGGGTGAGGAGAGCTGGGGATGGGGGGAATGGAAAATGGCTGCTGCTTTGCATTTTATAATGAAAAGACTCCTGCTATGTAGAGAGGTGAGCTCATTCACTTCCAGCAACACCAGGCATGTTCCCTGCCCCAGCCCTTAAGCATGACAGCACCTAGCAAAGGTGTGTCCGCATAGCTATGTTGGCCTGCCTCCTGGAATGTTGGGAGCAAGTTTGAGCTGCATTGATTAAAAAAAAAAAAGCAAATATTGAAAAACACCTCTTTGTACTCAAATGGCACTGTAAAATGCAGATTACAGCATCTGATTTTGTCTTCTGTGTCGATTTTGAGGCAGAGCACAAACAGGTTCATTGGAAAAGTAGAAAAAAATCAAAGGGAAAAGGAGAGAATTCTGCTTCTGCCGTCCACAGCACTGAACTTTGTTTTATGTGTTTTTTTGTTATTTTTCCTCTGTTCTTCAAGTCAGTATATGCCTTTTAAACCACTTTATGACATTAGGTAATGAGCTAATGCTTCCTCTATTAAGAGCAAGCAGCAGTGCCATTCATATGAGTCACATACATTTAATCCATTCAAATAGAGCATACTGAGTGGAGAGAATGGTATGTGTCATTATATAAAGAACTTGGCAGTAGGATGCTATCTGGCTGAAGATCTTATTTATTTTTCAATTTGGAGAATGCAGACAAATCAGGCATTGAAAATGAATGTGCATGCCTAAATTCATGACTTTATTTTCATCTGTAATGACCATGACTGGTCACCAGGAGGTGCATTGATTGGTCTCGCAGCGCAGTGGGTCTGGATGAGGCTGCATGGTGTGGTTCAGGGCCAGGGGACCTGAGACTGCATCCCTCACCCAGCAGGGCTTGACAGGGTTGGGGCTGGCCAGGTCTTGATGTTGCCCAATGGGGGTGGGGCCAGCTGGACACTTCTATTATAGAGAAAGGGCAAATAGCAATATTAAAATATTTCCTCTAATTAATTCCCTTTTAATGTGTATGAATTTTGTGCACCAGGCCACTAGTAAAGATATAAAAGAATCTTTTATTCCTTGTAAAAGATTATATCTCAAGGTATCCATTTGAAGATGAGTGTCCTCTAACATCCTAGCAAAGCCTTTTAAAATTTCCATTATTATGAAATTTTTCACAATGAAATCATAATTAAAACCAAAAGTTTTTTCAGCAATTAGTGCATAGTTTTGAAGCCCACAAGTAGTGATTATTTGCATTTAATTTAATTTTACTTTTTCTAAGTGAACCTGTTCTATTCTTTAAGATTAAAACATCGTGATGATATTTTGGTTTGAAATTGTCTTATGTATCTCATTTATTTGAAGGGTACTGATAGCTTTGTAAAACTGTGTCTTTCTAACTAGGAGCATGATCTGTTTCTCTATTTTTTGTTCTTATTTAGTAAAGTTTTGTGCATTTTTTTTTTCAGATAGAGATCCTGCACACTTCCTGGAGATTATCCTTAGATATATTGGAATTTTCTAGTTATTTATGAGTTCAAGTCCTGGTGAAATTCAGCACATGACATTGAGATGGGGATTCTGCATAGAGTACTTTTAAATGAAACCATAGGAAGGGCAATGGGCCCTCAGAGGCATCTTCATTATGTAATAAGTCTATCATGGTGTAAATTGAAATGTTCTGCATAATTCTGTTGATTCGTTTTTCCATAGGAAAGAAGAAAAACGTTTGAAGAAAACCTCAGAAAAACAGGTCTTGAGTTGGAAATTGAAGACAAAAGGGTAAAGTAGTTAATTTATACCAGAACCTTGGTGTTAAAATGTTCTTTTCTTCTACTCTGGCCTTTGACTAGATAAACCTTGTCTTGGGAGCAATACATTAGTTTTTCTTTTTTGGCTACAAATGTGTACACTGGGAATGGTAATACCTGTGGTTGTTCAGGTAAGTTGGTTTTTGCTCTGTGAGATGATGAGTGGAAGACTTGACAAATAGATGTAAATAATTCTGTTCAGGATATGAAGAAAGTGAAGACATGGTTTTTGTTTTATATCTTTCTCATTTTGAAAGCTGCCTATAATCTGGCATCCGATCTAGTTAGCTGGCTAATTTTTAGCTGATATTTAAGACAAGGAATGTTTCTGCTCATGAATATGACACAATTTTTTTCTAACCCAATACTATTTTTCTAGAATTTCCTTCAAAATTATTTTTAAGCCATATTTAAGTTTCTATTCTGTCTATGAAACTCTAATACTCTTTAGTTCTAAGTTAACACTCGTTAGTTCTTATCTATCCCTGTTTTTACTGAATTAATAGTATGTATTAAACCACATACTCAATAACTAAAACATAACCATTCTTCTGTTTAATGAACCCTTATTTTCTAAAGTACTCCCTCTAGGTCAGGGTTTGGGATTTGGTTGGCCCTGCCAAGGCATTAGGGGTGAGTTAATTAAATGTTTGATCAAATATAGCAGGTTAATTTTAAGTTGATTATTTTGTATGGCCCTCGAGTGATGTTATAAATATCCAAGTGGCCTTTTGCAGGAAAAAATCGTGTAGGCTATACATGCTCTAAGTTTGGGCTATACATAGAAGTTAGGGAAAAAGAGTGACTGCATCTTATACTTCCTAAGTGTTCCACATATACCCTAAGCACAATTCTGAGCACATGGCTAGTTGCTAAATCAATACTTAAGAGCCCAGAACACATATGTATCTGTGGATTTCAGGCTAGTATACATTGACACTGAAATATGTATTTTAAAATATTCTTTCTTTAC